GCAGAGAGGCAAAGTGCAGCATTGAATGAAAGGAGGAAATGGTCAGTTACATGGTGGAGTTCATCAGCTGTGCAGTTGGAGGGGGTGAGAAGTCACTGTGTGGCTTAGGGGGGCGGTAGAGTGTAGCAACAATGGTGAGAGTGGGTCCAGGCAGCTTAAATACAACACATTCAAATGAACTGAAGGCAGGCATAGAAATTTGCAGGACTTTCCACTTCTCGCGGTGAATTATCGCGAGACCTCCACCCCGACCGTTGCCACGGGGATGCAAGATGTAAACAAAGCCTGAAGGAGTGGATTCATTTAGTTGAGAAGAGTCATTTGGCTGTTGCCGAGTTTCAGTCAGACAGAGAAAATCAAGCTTACGGTCAGTGAGGAGATCCTGGATGAGATGTCCCTTGCCCATGAGAGAGCGGATGTTAAGCAGACCGAAGCGGCGTTGTCATGCTTGACAGGAGCGTTAGCCGACCTAGCTGGGCTGGCTAATACGCGGCGATCAACAGCCCTGCCGGAGTTTCTGGGAGGGCGGCGAGAGGTAGACCAGAGGGATTTTATTGCTTTGGAGTTGTCCTGATGGAAATTCCTGCGAGACCCACGATGGGTGTATCTCCGGCGGGGGAAGAGGGCGATGTCCAGGTGGAGTTGCAGCACTGGCGGTTGAGGCTCAGGCAGGTGCCAGCGAAGCCAACTAAGTTCAGCGGCTGTATACCACAGTATACCTGCCACAGGGTGATGGCAGAACGACAGGAGCATCCAGAGAAGTGCAGACCAGATGTAAAACTTTCTGGCCCACATAGCGACTGCAACGGCCAGGTGGATCAGTGAAGCCACGTGCTGCGTTGCAATGGGTAGGCTAGAGTTGGCCCGCTCGCACACAAGACAAGCAAAACACAGGAGCAACAACTGAATCGGTGTTTATGCGAAGATAGGTTAATGCTCTAACTCCCATAAAAGTGCAATTACGCAGTCCATTCAGGCCGTAAAACCAAACAAAATACTTAAAAATAACCGGTGAGCAGCGGCAGCAAGATGCGGCAGCAAGATGCGGCAGCAAGATGCGCCAGCGTCCACTCAACCGGAGATGTACTTTTAGATTCTAGTCCCCAAATACAACAATCCTAAATTTTGTCTCCTTTTTCAGAGATGAAGAAATCAAAAGGCAAAGAGAAACTAAAGTAAAACACCACAGACCCATTGTGTTTTCTATCACAGAAGTGAGGTTGTTATACAAGGCTTGTCACAGCAGAGGATTATTAATTATTTCCCATGGTTCCTCAGGTGGGAATGGCTTTAATTTTAGAGGCCATTAAAATACCATCACACACAGTCCATAGAGGGATTGTGGGATCTGGCTTATTGGTTAGAGGGTATATCGGTATCAAAGGAGCTCAAACAGAAACATAGATGCAAGGATTGTGTGTTTCAGAATGACATTTAGTAAGAAAGGTCAGAAAACACACATTAAGTCAGGTCTGAGAACCCTACTGTAGGTGTGAGGTTTAATAGCTCATAGTATACTTGGTATTAATTGAGATTCATACATTTATCAGATGTTGTGAATCTTGTGTGACAATTTTTGGCAGATTTCATTTTTTCCTATAGTTTCAGAAAAAAGGAATCAATGTTATAAAAAAAATCAGATAATTATAAGAGTGAGACACAGCACATTTTTAGAGAAAAGCCAATTATTTTTATTTTAAGTCTTCCCCACTCCTCCTAACATCTTTCACCTTTAGGCGCTCTCCCAGTCTAAGATGCTTTGTCAATAACTTGTATCTAGTCTTAACTTAAAGGGGAAATTCTTCAGGAAAAAAAACATAATTCTAAGAATTTCATCACTAGGAGCGTCTTTTTGTACTGCTCAGTGAATACAGCACCAGCTTTTGAGCAATTGTATTCTTACTAGCTGGACTTAAATTACATAGTGTTTGATGAGAAGTAAATAAATAACACCTTCATTATTTAAAATAGCTGTATGTTAATGTAAATATAATTATCCCTTGGAGCTGCGCTTCAGTGTCTACTCTCAAATATATAGAATCCGTTGGGAATTTTTCAATACACTGATCACAGTTTCTGTTGCATTTCTTGTTTCTTCATCCATAAACTGTCTCCAATGTCACAATGCCCATACACACAGGCATGGCAAGTAGAGGTACAAGCGTGCAGGTGAACATGCAAACACGCGAGTGTGCATTTTGGGAACATGGATATAGGAACAGAAGTTTGTCATCATAATTTACTTGTGTACAACAGTTGGTGAGTAAGCTGCATGTGAATGTTGTCCGATTCCCAGAAATTATGTCTTTTAAGGGAAACAGATGGAGTGGGGAGGGAAGGGAATAAATACACTGTGATACTAGATAATAAAGCATGCACAGTGTTTCCATATCCTCGACTGAGAGTATCTGATCTGCTGGTCAATATCAGAACAATCAGTGGAACTGTTGGTGTGGTATGAGTGGGCCTCACTTATTTTCTCTACACAAGTCAGCAGCATGCGAGAGCTTCTCTGTGCCCTCCTCTGTGCCCATAAAGATGATTTGCTGCCAATCTGGCAACGGCAGCTCTTTAATGTGACAGCTTACTGGTCTACTCATACAGACACTAAGGGCACACTCACTCTCAGGCTTGGTTGCTCCATACCCCTCCTCCCTATTCCCTCCACTGTCCCGCACTCACATTGCTCCAGGAATAACCGAGCCTGAAGATGGTCATCTCTTGTTCATAATGTCGTAATACAACAAATACATTTGGCTTCTGTCTAAGTCTACTAAAGAAAGCCGAAACTGTTGATAATCAGCATTATGCACGAAATAAGCAACAGTGTACAATCACACCACTAATGCACTTACATGTACAGTATGCACACTCAAGGGAAGTCCAGCAGTAATTGGAGGTGGATTTACAAATGGCCTTCAGCTTCAAGACCAATGCACAGCAAGATGATAAATTAGGGTTCTCTCACCCAGCCACGCAGGGACTCCCTCAGGTTAATGGGGATTAGGGGGACTGAGTGTGTGTGTGTGTGTGTGTGTGTGTGTGTGTGAGAGACAATGCATTTGCTTCTGTTAGGGTGCATATCTATACTGCCAGTGCCAGCTAATGGAAACTTCTGCTGTGCTAAGCCCCTGCAGTGGCTGGGGTTCGCTAACAGGGATTTAACATTGTTCTTTGTGGCAGTAATACCTGGCAGTGTTATCCAGTATTTAGCATTCCTCCTGGCCGTGCATCAAAAATGAGGCTTATGAGGGTAAGCTTTTGTTTGTGCTGTGATAATAAAGTGCTAACTGTGTTTGCTTATGTATTAACTGATGTCTCTGAAGCAGAGATGTTAGAGAGAGCAGAGATTACATTTTACCTTAGCTGCTAATGGAGAGGATTAGCATCTGGCTAAATTTGTTTCTGAAACAAAGCAGAATGGGGGCTCTGTAGGTTTTCATACTTCTGCTCCCCTCTGCTTTAACCTTTTCTTCATCCATTCTGATTCTATTCTAGGTAAAGATCAATATCCATCCTTTTACCATCCCTGTGTTTGTCTCCTTTTTTTTCCCCTCACACTCTCACCTACACTGTCCTCCTATACCTGTCATCAATAGCAGCTTCTCCCTCTCCATGTCTGCCTCTCTCAGGTTTTCATCACAGTGTAATTATTTACTGAAGCAGGATACTGTGGAAATGGATGGGTTATGAAGCCCACCGAAGAGGAAGGAAAATGAAGAAATGATCAGTGGAGGAGAAAAAAATGTGTTTGGGTAAAAAGAAGCAGAAAGTATGACAGAAAAAAGATGCATGGTTTGCGACGGAAAAAAAAGGAGGAATGACACACTGATGCAACATTAAAGAATGGCCATGACAAGAGCTATGCAGAGAAATCTTATTATGCCAACGGAGAAAAAAATGAAACTTATCAAAGACAATGAAAGAAATAGGAACAAAGAAGCAAGAACAATACTTAAATACTGATAATATAGGAACGTCAGCCTTTTATCTTTAAGAAGTTGTGTGGAGACATCTATATTTTTTTAAACGTATTACCTCGTTTTGTTCAAACTTTTTTGGTAATTAAAGATGATTAATTCAGAAATACCACTCCGAGGGGGAACAAAAGTGAAGAGTAGTTTGTCTCACTGCTCATTAGCTGTGCAACCATGCAATCTGCAAAACACACACCATGAAATGGAACAAGGATTTTGAGTTTGAGCCGTTGAGAAATGGGACTAAATTATTAAAAAGAAGCAAATTACAGTTAGACTCACTAGTTCTTCTGTGATTAAAGGCACTTATGTTGCAACAATACATTTTTCTTTCTTATGCAAACAAACAAAACTATGTTCAAAGGGTGCTGTAACTGCTCTAGTGTTGCCGCTCTGTCATTCTCTTGCAGAGACAAAGTTAATATTTTTTTAATTAGTCACAAAAATTTTAATTTTAACAAAACAAAGCTCTGAACAAATATCACTTAGGATGCACAATATCAGTAATGTACGGCGGCAGAGCCTTTGGGAACTCATTGTTCTTAGATAGATGTTCTCTCACACATCTGAGTACCATAGATGTTTTTTTCCCTCCAGTTCTGTCCATGTCTAATCAAAGTTGACACTGGGCACTGACATGTTCGTTGGTGCTTGAATGTATGTAATGTGTGTGCATGTGTGTGTAGAAGTATGTTGATCACATCCTTGTCACAAAACATCCATCATGGGAATATAGCTTCTGGTGAGAGTTTTAGAACTGTCATTCTGCAGAGAGGGAAATAGGAAGAACGTTTAGAACGTGCACTGACTTCACTTTGAAAAAGGCTAGAAGGTAAAAATCTACATATACATGCTATGCACTTGAGTTTATTGCTCCTTGTCATCTGTAAAAAAAATCTCCAAAAATTCAGGAGATTGTAGGGAACGTTTCAATGGCAGGAGCAAAAACAGGTTTTCAAAACTTACTGATTAACTCAAGCTGCTCTTAAAAAAAGTCATTCAAACCAATAAAGCACCGTGAAATAAAACAAGGGAGTTCAGAATCTTTATCATTTTATCAGACAACCAGCTGTGAGGAGAAACTGCAATGAAAGAGGAAAAGAGTCCATTGATTTGGTAAGAATCAACATTTTGTTCTCTTGTAAACAACAAGAGAGAGAGAAAACAATCAGTGACAATCTAAGGAGTGACATCAGAACTCCTTTCACTTCTAATCAACTAAACACTATAACACAGATCCAGTCAGTGTCGGCTGAGTTGTTTCTCTGCACAAGGAGTTAGTTTAATCAGACGCCCAATTAGCGGAGACAGAGAGGCACTGATATGTCTAAGGCAGCGATAAACAAAGATAATTATACAATGTTAATTTAAAAGTTCAAGTCTGAAGAGAGATTAGTGCAGAAAGAAAAGCTGTTTGTTTTAACCTGGCTAAGGAAGGACATGAACGAAGATAAGGTCAAGTGTCTGGAAACTCAAAAGAAACATTTGTCTAGTGGGAAAACACAATCTCTACTCGAAGCCGCCCTGAACCCATCCCCACAAACAACAAGGTACCACAGCTACAAGATGTAAGCTCCTCGATCCTTAGTGAAATGGAGAGTCTGTGTGAGCGGTCCATCAGCACCACGGTTTTGTTATGTCTGTTGGCGCGCGCCCTGCCCCGCTGGAGCCATTTCTGGAACGTGAGTGGAGTCGAGCGCAGCTGTACACACATCCCCGGACAACTACAAGATCACATGGAAATAAAGAGAAAAATGTTCAAACATCATGTTACTTTGTCTTTCTGAGATTCCTTTGTTGTGGCATGACGTGTATGTAATGTTGATAAAGTTTGGAAAATCTGATTGTGAGTCCGTATATTGTGTTTTATTTTGAAATTGAGCGGATGCTCTGTGCATATCCTTGTCTGACTCCTGTCCGGGTCGTTCTATTCTGTCCATATTGACGCTTGTCTGCAGTGTACTCTGTCAAATATAGACCTTCAGCTTATTTGTAACGTGGAGTGGAGGGTAGTGGCGCTGCTGGCATGCTCAGGAGACCACGACGCCCGCTGTGGAAACACAATCATTGGCAAAGTGTGACAGCGAACGGCAGTGCACGGAGTATGAGGAAATTGTGGGTTAAATTTCTCCTTTTTAGATTGATTAAGTGAGCAATCCTTTGTTTTACCTTTGACACAATTTGTTTATTTCTGACACAGAAGTACTCAGCATAAACGCATTAAAAAGTGAACTACCATCGTAGTACTGAAAACCCAGAGATAACTGAAGTTACCCTGCTAACTGCAGATCCTGCTTCACGGAACAGGGATTATCATGTGTTGGACAGTCAGAAACATGTGTTGCCAACCTTTTGTGCCATAACAATTTTGATGTCATGAAGGATATCCCACAGGTCGTTTTGATTTCAGGGCATTACACAGCTGAGTTGGTGTATTTAGAGAGCGTGAGGCTGCTTGTAGCCTAAAGAGCATCCGCTTCTCCCACGCTTGCTGTTAAACTGACGCTGGAGCAGATTGTTTATGACAGCTCTCCGGCTGCAAACACCACACTGCAGGTGTTGCAGGACGGCTTCTTTTACTGCAGCTCACATCAGCAGGCGCACGCACACTCTGCAACACACAAACAGGATCACAAATGAAAAAATAATGTCTGGAAAATTCAGAGATCAAAGCGTACATATTTTCACCCACACAAGTTGTGTACATGTTCATGTCGTGTAGAATACAAATAGCGCCTCACATTTGGATATTTGTTTTACTTCAACCTTTTTAAAACTGCTATCAAACACAGTTTTGGTACAAAGGATGTTAAATTGGTGACAGTTTATCCTCTCTCTGATAACAAACAAAAGATCATGATGAGGGTTTATAGAGGGGGCAGTTGAATCATTGGACAAATACTGTATGAACACAGACAAAGTATTGCAGGACATGGTGCATGGTTTGTTTAGTTAGAGGTGCCAAAGATAGTTCTCCTAAAACACATGTTCTGTATGATAACCTGGACTGTCTCAAGAAATTGCGCTGTCTGCAATGTAATAATGTTTTCTTTGTATACTGTACATCTGCAAACGGTTAACATGTGCAGTGACATCATCCTAACATTTAGATTATCATTAAATGAGTTGGACACCTGGGGTGCAGATGGTCAAGCAGTTTTTTTTGCACCCCATTAAGGCATGTTCCAATAAAAGGCGTAAAACCCCAAAAAACAAATCTTAAAAAAAACAACAAAAAAAAAAAAACTTGACAGCATGCATGATAAAAGGATTTGAAGAATTTGAAGCCGACTCTTATAAAGAATACAAATTAAACAGTTTGCAACACATATTCCTTGATTTCTGCTTTCACCATGCAGCTAAAGTTAAAGAGAAAAACACAAGTCTATTTTCATTCCTTTAACCACTTCAGAAGACTGTTTATTCCTCTTCCAAAGACTAAAACATATTTTCACACGCACTCATTGACATAATCTTGATTCTACAATTGCTTTGAAAAATAATAAAGCTCTGCTCACAACAGAGAAGAAACAAACGCACTTTGACTCAAATTGTTTTAGTCATTAGCCACAAGTCTCTCTCAAATTATGCATCTCTTAATTTAGATATAATGTATTGTTTGAGCTTTCTCACCCACCTCCTTTTGGCCGAGTAGAGCATTATGCTAATAGCATTGACCTGAGCTAAATGTGCTTTTATTTCTACTCATGTATGCATAGAGCAAATGCTTAATTTATTTAGTCTATTTATACATTTATTAAGTGGAAACTAAGGTGGAATAAAATGTGCCTTCTTGCTCACATAACATTTCCAACCTGCAGACCCATGTATATTCAGAGAAGACAACAAATATGGCTGCAGCCAATAACCAGACATGAGGAATCAGGAGTCTGACATGTTGTGCACCAAGTGTGGACAGCTTGTAAATGGACTTCTCCTGTCATCGAGATCAAACAAGAGAGTCTGAAGTTGAAACTAAATTTACTGGAAGACGGAATTGACCACAGTCTTCTGGCTTTCTCGTCGATGCTCTCATTATTTTGATTTCTCTCCCACTCGCTCTATCTGTCTCTTTGGAAAGTACTCTCACGGCCTCTCTTTCATCACACAACAATAACAACTTTGGCTGGCTCTTAAGACTCCTCAAACACTGCAGCGCTCACAATTTACAGCCAATACTTCAACTGATTTGTGCATATGTGAAAATGCACATCAGCGTATACCAACTGATAAAACATGCAAATATGAATTTGTGTGTGAACTATCTTGCATTACTTTTTTTTGTCTCCGAGCTTGATGTGTGTCCGAGTGTGTGCCTGTGTTCCAGCCAACTACTGTTCTCTAGTAATGGAGAACATGAAGTAATAACAGTGATCTATCACAGTGATGACTTGGTATGGCCAACCGCAGTGAGGGCAGGATCTACTGCAGCGTGGGGCAGCAGAGATATCACTGATGACAACAATAGAAAAGTATGAGTTGAGCGACAAAAGAGGGACAGACTTCCACTTCCTCTACGGCACCCTGAATTAAAGTACTAAAGGAAGCCATGTGGAGCCCTGAAATCAAATATTCTAATGTAGAAGCGTTTGAAATCTGAGTAAAATTCAAATTAACTTTTGATAATTACAAAAAAAACATCCATGGAAGTAAGCCATTCCCAGGATTATGGTGTGTGGTTTGCTTAGTAGATGTTTAGATAATTACCTCGTTTTTCTTTTAAACAAACTGTATCACTATCTAGTGATCTAGTTAGTGGGTTTTACTTCAAGCTCAACAGCAAAATATTTTCTTGTGTCTCCTCTTATAAATGTTGAGTTGTTGAAACAGTGGTCTTTTTTACTCAGAGACAATTGAATTATGTTACCTTAGCCTGACCACACCTTTCGAAATGGACAGAATGAAGACACTTAAAGCTGCACTTCAGTACTATGCACAAAGTAGAGCAGAACCTGTCTTTTTATTTTACCTCAATATAGGTAGCCCAAGTCAAAGCAATGATTAAAGCAACATGAGCACTTACTTCCATCTAAAGGTTTCTCTCTGACAAAGAAACCCCACTTTCATCCGTTATGTCCCTAAAGGCTTGATACAGGCTTTCTCTATGTCTATCATTCCTCTCTGTACTGTTGTTTTATTTATTAGACTTCTCTCACTGTTTCTCATTTTTAACACTTTCCTCATCTCACATTCCTGCAGCCCTCTCTGCTGCCTGTCATCACCCTGGCTTTTACAGCTTGTGTCTTTATCGCCTCTTTAACCACTCATATCTCTCTTTTCATCCATCGACAAACTCAATTTCAACATAACCACACTCTGAGATTTCATCGTTATGCAGATGATACGCAATTATACTTACCACTGAAGCCAGATAAAACCAATCAGTTTACTAAACTTTGAGCATCTCAATTATACTTCCTTGGCCTATGAATGGTGGCAGATCGCTTTCCACCACTAAATTTAGTTCTACTTAAGTTGTCTGCCTGTAAAAAATGTGCTTTTCATTGTCACTGTTGCAAAATATTGCTAAGACCTTGGCACATGGATTAATGTAGAGTCTCTTTGAATAACATACAGAGTACAGTCAAGACCTTGACTTTTTAATGTGTCCTGAGATTATTTAAGTTTTGATTTGATGCTATTCAAATGTGTTTATTATGTGTTCATTAAAATAAACACAAAGCACACATGTGACTTAGGAATTTAATCAAAATCTCTCCATCACTAGACAACATTTTTTGAATCTAGCATGTAACATTTTTGTTTTCAACATCCCTACTGTAAATATGTGTAATTGCGACTGAAATTGTTTTCGGATTTGTAATGATGCAGCTTTTTTTCAACTAGACTCTGATGTGTATGGCACGAATCAAATCACATCCTGTAGAGCTTCATTATTTGTTTCCATCCAGGGGATGTTGTGTTAAATTATTCTCCTAGATTCAGTTTCAGGCAGGTTTTCTGTGCAAAGAGTTGCATGGCAAAGTAAGCACTTAAACCACCAACTGGTTGAAAAAGTGATTGTTCCATTGCTGTGTTTTCTGCTATAAAAAAAATGGAATAGTGAGGCTCAGGTGTGTGACAAATTAAACTGCCACTGTACAGTGATGATAATTAGTTGCAAGGATTATGTAAAAGTGTTTTTTTTGTTCATTTGGTGTCCAGTTCTTTAACTCCTATCCTGATTTTAACCATCGCTCACTTCTCTTTTTCCGTCCTTTTCTGGTCTCTTGTACTCTCTGTAAATCGCTAATGGTAACAACAGCCTTGAGCAGACTTCCCAATGACAGCACTAATGATTGGATGCCTCCAAAGTTGTATTCACATTATGTATTCGTGTTTGTGCTTCAACTGTCTTTCCGCCACCTGTGTGTGTCTGCAGCATATTCAACCTTTATCCTGCTCACTGTCTCCTATGTTCACTTCCAATCATCTTACGTCCTTCAATCCCCAGCAAGGTGACTCATCTAATGAAGGACGAGTGTTGCCCAAGCAGCATGATGGCCAGCTGTACTCCTTGTCTGTGAAACTCTCTATTGCTGTGGCTACTTTCGACCTAATTTTTCCTTCCCTTCTACCACTTTTTCTTGTCCTTCTTCAGTGTCTTAGTCTGTCATTTCCTCTACTCTCACCTCGTCAGCCCTAATTTCACCTCCCACCAGCTGTTGGTGTCTCCTAATAGCTGTCATGTTGATGTGGATGGACTTGAAACCCCTCGTCTCGCACCTTGCAAATGTGGCTCATTAAAGTAGAGAGTGGGGAAGGTGACAGCAGTCTGCATCAAGCTGCTGCATTCACCTGCATTTCTCTGACAGGCCATTGCCCGGAACGCCCCTTACAAGGTGGTCATAAATGTATAATGGCATTAAGTAGAGCCTGATTGCCACAAGCTCAAGGTGTTCTCAGTACATGGTGAACATTAATTGAAACAAGACACTGAATATCTTTAATAAAGTTGGAGAAGTTGAGACAAAGTCAATGGCTTAATATGGTTTGAAATGACAAGAAATCATGAACTGTATAAATCACAGTGATGGTGGAAACCAATTCTGACTGCGCGATCTCTAAGCTTATTAAAAAGCATGCAAACGGGTGTAGTTTAGGTGGACCATGTTACGGATCAAAACCATTATTTGTACCAGGCTGTTCAACATGCTTCTGCAATCAAATGTGCATGAACTCTTTTGGGAACTCCTTGGCAACCTCAAGTGGACACACACTGAACTGCAGTTTTTTACATTTCCACATTAGCCCAGAGGTTTTCTGCATGACCTGGCATTCACAGTAAAATATCTCTTTCACAAACATACAGAAAAAAAGGCAAGGCAAGAACCTCGCTCACACATTCTGCCCTTAATCCTCTTTCTGTAAGAAACTTGCAAGTCACTGTGAAGCACCTGTGACAGACAATTAGGCAATCACGCACCTATTCAAACACACAAAGGTCAATTCCGGTCATACTAAAGGCAATGTTACAAAAAAAATAAATGTTTCCAATTCAAAGTTTCCTGGGCTAGAATGCTGTTCAATATTCACAACAAATACAGACTCTTGAGAAGTTGCACAGCAACAGTGTGACAAATTAAGCAGAACGAATGATGCAATAAAACA